TCACAGGCAGCCAGCACAGGGCAGGGAGGCGGGAGCTGGGTTGGGCTTCTCTCCCGGGTCCTGGCCCGCGGCAGTGGGACAGTCCCAGGCGTGTGCTCTGGCCCGCAGCACTGTGAGCAGTGAGCCCCCTGGGTTCACCCCCCCACCCCCCGGGCCGCACCGCACTCTTAAGAGACAAAGTCGTGCCCACATCAGGGCAGCTCACGCTGCTAAGGAAGAAGCACTCTCCCAGGACAGGACTCCGGAAACTCCTAAGCATACGTTGCCCCCTTGGGGCAAAAAATATCCCCAGTGAGCAAAAGCCGGAGAGGCAGGGTGAATAGGAACGACTAAAACTCGTGCGATCCCTGACGGGTCGCAAAACACTGCACATCCATGTGCTCATACGGTCCTCACTGATCCAGCAACGAGGCCAGGGTGGCCCCACGGACCACCACATCCCCAGTGTCTCCATGCCAAGGGCGTTCACCAGCGGGGGAAGAACGCTGAACGAGGCTTAGTCTCTGGGATGGGCACTACACTGGGGGCTTTTCCATGAGCTGGAGGGCATTGTTCCCATTTCACAGGTGAGGGAGTTAGACGCAAAGAGGAGATAAGGAATCATTCGGAGGGTTTTCACGGGTAGGAGAGTTCGTAATGGTAGGAAAAGTTGGGAGTTATTATGTCTGCCCAGAAGAGCTGGACATTTTGGGAAACCTTGTCTAGCTTTCCAAGGGCACAGCCAGCCGGCCAGGCTCTGAACCCAGAGTGAGGTCTCATTAGCATTCAGAGGGGGAAGTGACCGTGGGGGATGCCATCCGGGGCATTGGGAAGAGACAGGCTGTGTTTTAATTACGACCTGGACTTCTGAACAAATCCTTTTCTCTGCTTGTCTGAGCCTTAGAGAAAACAACTTGTGGGAGGTGTGTAGTCGGCAGCTGGGTCCACACTGGTGCCTGTACAGCTGTGTATACATCTGGCACACAGGTGGTGGACTGCATGTGCCTCTTCTCCTTGAATTGCTCTGGGGGTGAGTGGGGGGGGGAGGGGTAGGCACAAGAGTCAAGGTGGTGAGGTGAGCTTGACCTGGTCTTTGCCCGGAGGGGGAGAGTTGGGTGGAGAGAAGGGAGAGAAACAGGGCTGCCCCCCTCTTCCTGGTCTGTAATCCCCCGCTGACCGTGACCATTTGAGCCCAGACCACTCCAGCCACTCCTGAGTCAACATGGCGGGCTTTCTTTGTTGAGCTCACCCTGACCCTCCCGTCTCCAACGTGGGGGAGATTTTTGGAGCGGGGGCTGAAATTAAGAAGGGCGGAGAAAGGGGAGGAGATTAACAGGGTAGAAGTTAGACAAGCACAGATGCTACCACCTGCGGCCGCAGATTCTCAAGTGCTTGTTGACTCCCTGGGAGCGTTTGCCTTGGGTCTGTTTAACAGTTCATTCCAGGGGAAGGGGAGGAGAAGGAGGGCTTTGGGGACAAAGGGCCTTTGACCGGGTCCTGGAAAAGCATTGATTAGTTTGCTCAGGTTGGCAAACAGTGACTCGGGACTCGGGGCCAGGGATGAACTGGGTGATTTTCTGCCCCAGGGCATGGCAATCCAGCATGGAGGCAGGGAAGCAACAGCAAATGTTTGAGGGACTGGTGTGGAGAAGGAAAAGGCGGGGCTGCTGGCATCTGGAATTCTGGTTTTGGGCTGTCGTCAGGGGTAAAGGAGCCACGTCAGCCCCTTGGAAGTTGAGAGGCAGAGGGCAGGCATATCAGGATGGGTGTTTCTAAGGTGCTCTTGATGGCCAAGGGTGGGCGTAGGGGCCGATATGGTGACCCAGGGCCTGGGTTGAGAGACAGCGAGCTCATGCCTTCCTGATCCTGTGCTGTGCTGGAATCAGCTACCGCCTGGCCTCTGTCCTGGGAGGCTGTTCCGTCATGGATTCACCAGAGGCAGCCTCATTCTCTTCCCCAAGCCTTGGCTTCCTTCACCCGAAGAATCTGAATGGCCTCCGTTTTTCTTTCGCCAATCCATATGCAATGCCTCTTTGGGAACCCCTCCTTCACTTCCTCTCCACCCTCAAAACGAGTCCCTTCTTCCAAGAAGCTTCTAAGACAAACATGCAGACTTCACGCCATAAACCAGTATGGCTTCAGAGCTGGGAAGCGATTGATTGTATTACCAACAAACTATGGCTTTATGCCATTCTGTTTTCTGTTCACTGGACATTGCCTTGTACTGTTTGTGTTTTCTGTTTCCCACAGGTAATTCTCTATGGGTAGACATTATTTGATTCTTGTTTGCTTGTTTGCTGTGCTCCACGGGGTTGAGGACCTTGTATAATTTTGTGCCGACAACAGTGACCCACACCTAACAGACACTCCGTGTAGACTTGTTTACACACATGAGTGCTGCCCGGGTGGTGGTTTCTTCCCCTCCCAGTTAAGACAGACAGTGGATGGTGTTAGTGCACGGTAGGTACTTCTGAATGAGGGAGTGAAAAGAAGAGTAGACTGTAAATGAATATCTGAATGAACTTTTGGAATGAATGGGAAAAAAAAAGAAAACACTGAATGAGTAAGTGAATGTGGGAAAGAACTTTTGTGTTGGGATTGGCCACACTGAAGCCATTTTGGTGGTCGGCCTGTCTATAGAAAAATGCCCTTCAGTTACTTCTGCTTCCTCAGTTGCTGCTGGCATGAGGCCTGTTAGCAGAACACGGTGGCCTCGGCCACCTGGATGTGCTCTGAGTCCATTGTGTCTTGTCTTCACGGGGGGGGGAGGGGGGGTCTTGGAGTTTTTATGCCCTCTGGCCATTTCGTCTTCCTACCACCATCCCCGCCCTATGCCATCTGAACTGTTGGTGTCCGTTGACCTCGCTGGATGTGAGGACAAACAGAGAGATCGGTTTGGAGAGAGATTCTTTTCTCCCTGTTGTGCTAGTACTTAAAAAACAAAACAACTTTATTTTGGAGATACAAAAGTGAGTGGTATAATGCATCAATCCCTGAGATGTTTTCAGGGCATATCATCTCTGTGCTTATGCCAAAGGCGTCGATGAAGGCAATTACGTCATCATGAGGCAGTTTTAAAAAAAGAGAAGAAGAAATAGATCTGCTGTAAATTTTAGTCTGTCCCAGACTGCCCTGAACTGTTACTGGCCTGGGGTGGGGGGACGAAGAAACAAGTGGCTTTTATTGGGACCCGCCGTGTGGCAGTCCCTACGTGAGGCTCTTTGCACAGGTCGTTTTAGGAGAACAAGTTAGATCCATGGGTCAGATCACTCTTATGGAGTCTCCAGCATGTGCAAGAGGTTGTGGGCTATATTCCATAGGCCTTGTTCTTCAACTACAGGCTGATGGCAGGAGAAGTTATAAACATAGGAAAATCTCAATGATAAGGCAAGATTAAGATGTTTCAAGTTAGCAGTAGGAAGCAGTCCCCGGCAGACTTTTGGAGCTGGAAGGAATTGGCCTAACTCCTTAACGACAGCCAGGAAAAGAGTGCAAAGGTGGGGGTAATGGCCTGCCCATAGTTGTGCTGACGGTTGTAAGCGTAGCTCGTAGATCCAGCCCAGTGGATCTTGCTGCTTTTTGTGTCTTGAAACATCGCCAGGAAACAACTGAGTGACCCGCTCAGACTGTTCATGGCAGGGTGTTCAAAGGAGAGGCAGTTCCTTCACATTGAGGCAGGGGAGGCTGGCTGGACCCAAGACGGTGGTTGGTGCCTTGTCCTGAGGGCGGGTTGGATTCAGTTAGACCAAACAGAGAAGGGCGGGCTTTGCGGGAGGGTGGATTGGTGTAAATGGTGTAAATACGCCCAGAAGCGAATCAGGCACGGTGTGTTTGCAGGAGTGGAGACATCATCGTCATCATCATCCTCCTCCAGCTCTGCCCACCAGGAGCCCGGGAGCTTCCCCGTCTCCAGATTGGGGGTTCTGGTCCCCTCCTCTCTGGTTCCCTGCTGCTGCCGTATCAGTGACCCTTGTCTCTGCTCTACCCTTCGTACTACAAAGAGTTGCTTTTCCTAAACAGGGCTCTTACCGTGTTAAAAATTGCTCAGGGACTCTCCATTGCTTGCCACACGCTGTTCAGCCTGAGCGTGTGAGCGGTCACGACTGGCCTCACCTGTCCCCCAACTCTTGAGCCGCCCCACCTCCAGCCTGCTGGAGCACACCCGGGCACTGTTGCGACTTCAGACCTTCACACAGGGGGTCCCCTCCTCCCCACCGCTTTAGGTCGTCAGCCTGCCAGCCTTCCTGTCTTTCCTTTCACCAAGATGCACTGACCTCATGATAAAAGGCAGCTGACTCTAGGCACCGCCCCCCCCCCATCGGATGGTTCTTGTTTCCTCCTCTGTGTCCCGCCGCCGTCATTTAGATGTGTCCTGTCTCTTCCGTTAGCCTGCGCTCATATCTGAAAGGGATTTTCTTTTATTCATCTCACGTCACTAGTCCCTACTGCTTTGGTTCGGCATAGACAGACACCCCCTTCTGTGGCTTGTTGAAATTAACTGAAATGAAATAAGAACGAAGGCCTGAGAGAGAGCTGCGTTCACCCAACGCCATGCTGGGAAGCCGGGGTGCAGTTTATCCCTCCGAAACCAGATGACACGGCGGCACGCCCTGGCCGGCTTGCTACAGATTCACGTTCTGGGGCTCCCCCTTTTGCGCACCGATGGGAGCGGGCCCGGACATCTGGGTTACTCCCCAGGGATTCTGGGCAGCTGCCTGGCGCTGTGTGTAGACCACCCTCTGGGAGGACCATGTCCTAGATGACCCCAGTTACACCCTGGGCATTAGCTCAGACTGTTCCCAGCGCCTCTGCCCCTGCGTTTTGTAAGCCTCTGTGCGTCACTCACCCGAATCCCTTGGTTCGGCCTCCTCTGGGAACCCAGCATCTGGATTTCAAGTGTATTTCGTTCCCAAACATCCTCACCCCGGGGCTTGGAGTCTCGGGTGCTGTTGACCTGAGGCCAGCTGGCCCCCATCCGACCTTTCTCAAAGACCCTGCTTCCCTTTCTCCCCTGCTGCCAGGCTGTTTGCTGTCAAATGTGGGGGCTGCTTCGAGGCCATCGCGCCCAATGAGTTCGTCATGCGGGCCCAGAAGAGCGTGTACCACCTGAGCTGCTTCTGCTGCTGTGTCTGTGAGCGGCAGCTCCAGAAGGGCGATGAGTTTGTCCTGAAGGAGGGGCAGCTGCTCTGCAAAGGGGACTATGAGAAGGAGCGGGAGCTACTGAGCCTGGTGAGCCCAGCGGCGTCAGACTCAGGTGAGTGTGGCGCGGGAGGAGGGTGGGGATGCGGGACGCGGGGGGCAGCGGGGCGGGCTGACGGTCTGGTCTGCATTGCTTTTGCCCTAGAGGACCAGCCACCGGGGCAGCCCAGCTCCACGGCAAAGCAGCTCTGTGCATCACAGGCAGTACCTTTGTAAGGTTGGCGTGATCTCTTACTGGTCAGGAATTGCCATGGCGATGCCGTGTAACAAATTAGCCCCAGATTCCACGCGTCACAACTGTAAATGCTTACTCATGCGTTCCCAAGCCTCTCGGTTAACGGCAGTGACTCTGCTTCAGGCTGAGGGTCTGCAGCTCACCTGGGATCTGCTGAGCTCAGCTCTAGGCCGCAGACCAGGCTCGAGTCCGCTCTGCGTGATTCACGCCGGGCTCCAGGCTTGAGAAGCGGCAGGTCCAGGGCGTGGTCTTCTCTTGCCAGTGACAAAAGTGCCAGGGGGCACGCCCGACCCTACCTGTGCCTTTCCGGCCTCCGTTCATACCATATCTGCTAATGGTTCACCAGCTAAAGCAAATTAAAAGCTTAAGCCCAAGGGCGCCCGGGTGGCTCAGCCGGTGAAGCGTCTGACCCTTCATTTCAGCTGAGGTCACGATCTCTCGGTTTGTGGGTTGGAATCCCGCATCGGGCTCCGCAGCTGGCAGTGTGTAGCCTGCTTGGGATTCTCTCTCTCTCTGCCTCTCCCCTGCTCATGCTGTCTCTGTCTCTCTCAAATAAATAAAACACTTTTAAAAACTTAAAAGGCTCGAGCCCGAAGTCCAGGGGAGGAGAAGTACACTACATGCACCTCAGATCCCTCCACAGGTATAGTTATGTGATACTGTTCCAGGGTGTGATGAGTTGGAACCAGTAATGCAGTCTACCGTAATCACTGAGCTGCTCTAAGCCTCTGTTTCCTCATCTGTCAAGTGGGAAAGCTGGAATCTGTCTGAGGCTCCGTGGGTCACACAGAGAAAGGAACTAGAAAATATCTGTACCACGACCCAACCCCCACCCTTCCTGCCTTGGAAGGGTGTGTGTGTGTGTGTGTGTGTGTGTGTGTGTGTGTGTGTGTGTGTGTGTGTGTGTGTGTGTGTGTGTGTGTGTGTTGCAGGGGTCGGGGGGAGGGTTGGAGAGGTCCCGAGATTGTATACAGCAGGTTTCAGGAGGCCAGAGAAATTGAACTAAAAGTGTCGAGGCTGAGCACGTGTTTCCCCAGGGCGGCATTTGTCTGGCTTGCCCCCCCACCCCTCCAAATCTACGAGAGCCGCATGGCCTTACTAAATTCTTGCCGTCTTGCTATCGCTGATCCCAGTGCAATTCCAGTCCCCTCAGCATGGCTGTGACCTCACATCATGCACCTCTTCAGGCTCTCAGGGGGCCTCTGAGACCTCCCACTCTTCATCTGCACTTTGCTGGATTCCAGCACATCAGTGTCTCCAGCACTCACCCCCACACCTTGAATTTTCATTCCCTCTCTGCCTCTCTCCCGCACTTTGGGGTCTTGCTGGCACATTCTTTCAGCTTCTGTCTCGGGGCTCTTTCACCAAGGAAGACTCTTAATCCCTCGTGCGGGTGAGTTTACCCTTAACTTCTCCTACGGGGCCACGGACCCACTTTATTGCAGTTGCCTGTCTGGCTGTTTGTTGTTCTTGCCAAGTGCTAAGCCCCGGGAGGGACAGCATGTGTCTTTTTACCACTGTGTCCCCAGGGCTTAGCACAGGCCCGGAACACTGAGGGTGCTCGATTGAGATCTTTGTGAGGGAAGGAATAAACTCATGAAACAAAAGCACTGTGGCAAGACGCTTGAGTCCACGGGGTGTGGGGACGGCTGGGGGCCTCACCCTGGCTGCACCACGGATAGCGATGTGACTTGGGGCAACTTTCTGAACCTCTCTAAGCCTCAGTTTCCACAGCTGTAAAGTGATAATCATGGCTAACTGACAGTTCATGCACACTAAAAGCCTGCTGTGTGGTAAATGCTGGTCCTTAGCGAACGCCTGCCGGCCTGGGCTCTTCATAGCAGTGTGTTTGCTTCCTGCACCTTCCAGTTGGTTCTTCTCGCCTGGCTCTGCTTGCAGCCTTAAGTAAGCCAACACTAGGACATCCCCACTCCTACTGGGCTTGCCAGTCTTAAGTTTTCCTGGATTTGTTTTCATTTGAAAGCAATTCCTTCTCAGGAACACTGCCACTGACATAATGTGTATCTCATCTGGGCTAATTGGGCCCATTCTAAACCAAGCTTCGCGGCCTCCACTCGGTATACAAAGGTCAGCTCACCCGGTATTACCCCTTAGGAGTCTTGCTGTGGCCCACCCACTTAGGCCTCCTTCCCGGAATATTGCAAAATCTTCAAATTCCCAAAGGGCTTAGGTGCCATGGTGATCAGAATGCCAGCATGACTTCATAAAGATAGGCACATCCAAAGGGACATACCATTCTTTCTCACATGGAAAGAAATGCTGTGGTCGAGCCTTTCTTGGTACGTGGGGCTTGACGATGAATTTATCCAGTTGGCCCCTGTGTTAAAGACTCACAGATTTTAATTGGCTCCAGACTTAGTACAAGGCATTAAGGTATCGTGTCCCCACCCCACTCCCCACGCGAAGACAAAAAAAAAAAAGAAGCTGGGTCTGAGCAGCGTTAATAGAAGTATAACTTCCAGGGGCGCCTGGGTGGCTCAGTCGGTTGAGCATCCGACTTCGGCGCAGGTCATGATCTCGCGGTCCGTGAGTTCGAGCCCCGCGTCGGGCTCTGGTGCTGACAGCTCGGAGCCTGGAGCCTGTTTCAGATTCTGTGTCTCCCTCTCTCTCTGCCGCTCTCCCGCTCACGCTCTGTCTCTCTCTCTGTCAAAAATAAATAAACATTAAAAAAAAAAAAGGTATAACTTCCAGAGCATGGGAACTACAAGACACCCACTTTTCTGACCCCACTCTCAGCCATATGTTCAGTTCTGAGCATTTTCTTTTGAGGCTGATAGTGACAAAGTAGAGCTTTCTGGTTGATCTGTGTACAGATTCATTCAGTAGATGTAGGCTGAGTGTTTGCCTTATGCTGGGGAAGGAGTCCTAATGTGAATGGTAAGAATGATGTGGGGGTGGGGTGATCTCAAAACCATGTCAGGTGAAGAAATTAGAAAAGTAAAAACTACATAAAGGCATAGCTGCTGCCTTCAAATGGGTGGATCAGACCCATTTCTAACTTCAGAGAGCAGAGAATTCACTTTGTTAATTATTTAACAAAAGCATTGAGTGCTCACGTTATAGATGCAAAGGTACAGGCAAGGGATTTGGACTCCACGTTGGGACTGTTAGGGTGTCATTGCAATTATTAGAGCTAACAAAGAGCAGGGCTACTCAAGGACTCCCACTTGTTGAAACAAGTATCGTTGTGGTGGGGGAGGAGAGTGGTTTTAGAGGACTTCCGTCCCTTTCAACTTGAAAAATCATTGTTTTGCTGCTATAAGCAAAATGACAAAGTCGCAGTCGGAATCCAGCTTCTGTATTTTCTGTAGCATTCATCTTGTCAATTATATAAACATTACCTGTCTTACGTCACAAAGTGTTTTGTGTGCCAGAGTGCCTGGGTGGCTCAGTCGGTTGAGCGTCCGACTTCGGCTGAAGTCATGATCTCATGGTCCGTCGGTTCGAGCCCCGCGTCGGGCTCTGTGCTGACAGCTCGGAGCCTGGAGCCCGCTTCGGATTCTGTGTCTCTCTCTCTCTCTCTGCTTCTCCCTTGCTTGTGCCCTATCTCTCTCTGCCTCTCAAAAATAAATAGACGTTAAAAAAAAAATTAAAAACAAAGTGTTTTGTGTGCCAAATCCTGCCTCGCTAACAGGACAAGCTTCTGAGCAACAGGATGGTACGTATAACTTCCTTTGTTCCCCAAACAAAGTGTAGGGTGGGGCCAACGGAAGAGTGAGTGATCAGTAAGTCCCTAAGGAGCTGAATTACATTTCAGGGAAAGAAGTCCTCCTCGCATTAGGGGTTTAGAGAGACCAAGCCATTTTTAGGAGGTGTCACAGTCCAAATACAATTCTTCCTCTCATTTCTGTCCCGAGCGCTCCACATACTGTAGGTGCCTGGTAAATATTTGTCGAGGGAATGATCAAATGGGCTGTCGTCTTTAACGTTTTTATCAATGACTTGGATGAAGACACAGCGGGCAGGTTTCTTCGATCTGCAGATGACACAAAGCAGGCCGGGAAGGCCGGTGTGGCAGCTGACACTCTCAACGGTCAAAAAGATTTTGACGAACTCACAGAATAGCACAAAGTGGGCAAGATGAAATTTAACTATTGGGTTCCACAATTCACTGGTAATTGTATGGCACAGCGCCTGTTTTGATGGAATCCCACATAGGGTTTACTTGGCCGTAAAGTGGACGGGAGCCCCCAGGGATGCTGTCTTAATGGACCTACCATGTCCCTAACGTAATAGTAGCTCCAGCTCTGCATTCCTTAGGGCACATTTAGTGTATTTGGTCTAATTTTAAGTGATGCGTTTTAGGACGTCACTGACAACCCAGAGAGGGTCTGGAGGACAGCGATGGGCTTATTAAACAATAGATAGCTAAAGAAACACAGTGCATTTCGTTTTGGGAAAGTAAGGCTAAGGGATAACAGGAGAGTTCTGCCCATTACGTGGGGGCGAAATGACAGATTCTGGTGTCCAGCAGGGGTACCGACCAGACCCTTTATGAGAAGTGAAAAAGACTTGTGTCTCAACATTTTAATTGCAGTGGGCGGAAGACGAGGCCAGTGACCTCTAGGGCTATTTAAATCTAGGGTTCTAGAGTCTATGGTTTTATGATGCTGACTGTTCTGAGTTACACAAGAGCATGCGACATATTTACAGCCAAAAGGAACACCAAATTTGGAGATACTTAGCTGCTGGATCTCTTTTCTAGTGTGGCCAGAAAAGCTTCTTTTATCCTGGTCCAGCTTTGCCAGGGGCCTGGAAGCAAGCTCCCAAGAAGAAAAATGGAATTTGTAGGAACAAAA